CCAGGTGAAGCAATCCTGAGTCCTACAATGCTGGCAAAGTGCTATTTTGGTGAGTAATTGAAGTTCAGTACATTTCAGACTTCTCAAGTTACTTTGTTCTATTGATCTGGAAGCTGAAATAAAAAAAGGAAAGTAGTTATATGCCAAAATGTCCAAAAGCGCATAGTCTGTTCAGTGCTCATACAACCTTTTTTCACAATATAAAGCGGTTGTTTTCTTTTAAATATAATTTAGATAAACTTGTCTCTCTGTTCATGCCACTTTTCAATTATAAGAGGGACAGTAGTATATTCACTCCGTGTGAAGATAGAGATTTTTTTTGCAGGTGGATCACTCTTTTTCAGCCTTTCTTCTAGATAAGAATGTAGGCAATCAGGCACTTGAGAATTTTTTCGCATGAGATGGTCTTTTACTTCCTGCTGTGGGATGTTAATTTCATTCTATAGCGTGACTTATTCTGCAATTCACGTCATCGGTCGGAAAAGTGCTTGTGTGAACCTGTGATCGTTTATAGCTTTTTTATTTCTCATTTTAGGTGTCCATGAGATCCCCTTGGCAAATGTGGAGCCCAGCCCCGCCGCTTCGAGGTCATTCTCACAAGACATCAAAGGCATCCTCAAAAGAAAGTTATCCTCAGGAGAGGATATGGGGGACAGGTTCCTATTGTCATCGCGTCTCACATTCATTCCCGCCAACGTAAGGAATCAAACCAATGCACGGTCGCAAAACATTTATATTTTTAAATTGCGGAATCTTGGAACCCTTTATTCCTTTACTGTTATTTAGTGTTGCTTCATCATAAAGGAATTTTCAAATAATGTAAGTTTTGGGACTTACAAGTTGAAGGAATAAACGGGAAGATGAAGAAAGGAATAAGAAAAAGAGTAAGTTAACGAAAGCGGAGTTGTGTCAAGATTAATTTAATGTAATCAGAAAATGAATTTCCTCCTTAACATTCCGCCTGGAACGTCAGTTTTTTTTTATTCGTTGCTCCATTACGATGTGCATACATCGTAGAGCATGGATTACGCGCAATAACTACTCTCCAGGCTTCTTTCCCGCCATTTTCAGCCTTAACAATTTGGTATCGGCAGGGCCGGATTAAGAAGTTGTGAGACCTGGATTGGATTCTTTACCCCTCTCCTCCCCTCGCTGCTATACGCAAATGCTTTACGATTTGAATTTCCTTCGGATCCCCATGGAAAATTGAGCCTGGGGCAACAGCCCCCTTTGCCCTTTCTCCCCTCCCTTAATCCGACCCAAGGTATCGCCAACACTGCCAATAACATTTGTGAAACTTTTTCTAAGGATCCTCCACACTACTAAGTGGGCCTCCTCTTACTCTATTATATTCACCACCAAAAACTGACAGGGAAAACACGAAATTTTTGTTTATTGGAATTGTTTAAGATACTCTCTCTTTCCTAGATCTTGCCTCTTTTCATTGGTTGCTCGAACGCTGAGGCACCGGTTTTTTAATACATTTTTCACCCTTACTTAAGTAGGGTTTACTTAGGTGTATTGGACATAATTCAAGGTATTTGTGAATTATTTCCCCAGAGGCATGCATACCATTATGAAGTGGTAGCTGACCAACATGTCCTAATGGCACGGAAGGAGCTCCATGAGGAGGCAGAAAATGGGAAGGACAGCTGTGTATGTGCTTTCTACATGGGAGTCGACGAAGTGGAGAAAAGGATCCTGGCCCTCCACAACGCCAAGCTTGAAGGAGTTCCCTATGATGTACTTGATGTTGTAAGATGCCAGGTTTTTCTTCTTTTTAGAATATTCTCAAGAAACTAACCTCAAAGGAAATAGCATGAAACAGTGCTAATTGAAGGAGTTGAGGTGTTTGCATTAAGCTAGCTGGAATTGGAAGAAATAAGAAGTCAATGTTATTGATTGCTCTCCTTAATACCATACCACAAATGAGGAGTTTTGAATCTTAGATATGGGGATTTAACAGTGTCTTATCCTCTTGCAGCTGCAGAAATGCTTGGAACTGCACCGGGCTGCAGAGAACTCAGCGCATATCAGGAATGCTTATAGAGACATCGTCAAGGTAAATATTTCATTTACTGCAGATCTTCTCTCCTTATCCTCACAGGAATGGACATACTTCTTCCATTGCTTCCATGATATTCTCCCATCTTCCCTTTACACTCCTAACTTCGGATAGACTCAAGAAACAAAAAATATTTAATTTGCTTTCGCTCTCCGAAAAGGCTTCGCAATTTACAATGGAACAACGAAGAATACTTTTCACATGTTTGGAGGTCTCTGAAAGTCCCGTCTAAGTTCAAAGGGAGTCTCGAGGATTTTTTTTGTGCCAAGTTTCATGCCAAATGTATTAATGTAGGCCCGTTGACCCCTTTGAAATGATCAAGTTTCCCGTTTTCTTCTTGACCTATACCTGAATCTCAAGATCTCACAATAGTACATCTGATATTTGCAAGCAAGCAACTTGGAATTGATGAAATTCTTTCAGGAAGTTTATTTCAACAGTTATACTCTAGAAATTCTGATATTTTGCAGAATTTGAAATATGTATCAGGATTCACACCTGTGCAACACAGGTGTGGATCCTGTTATGTAAGAATGCGTGTTTTTTGAAAAAAGGGCATTTATCCTGAACTGTTAAGTCACCAAAGTTTCAGAACCGAAGAAAACTTCTGTAAATTGCCCCTAATACAATTCTCCCCCCAGTTATGTTAAACCACTGACATAAAGTAATAAGGTCCCTTTATCCTGTATAGTTCAGTAGTTGTTGAACTAGTTGAACCCTCTCCTTCGACATCTCTTCAAAGACAACCACCGCTCTCTTTATGAGAAGGAGGAGCCAGGTCGAGTGGCGAAAAAGCTGTACTGTCTACGGAAGCTTGGGAACCCTCACATCAAAAGAAGCGACTTCTTGGTGGCGTTTTTAATTTTTGTTTTTAAGTAACCCCCATTGATAAGACATGAATTTCATGTCATGCATGGATTGAAGGCATTAGATACTTAGCCTATGGCCTGTAGCATAGAAATTGAATATTGATTTGTTCCGCTTTTCCCTTTGCTAAACAAGCCAGATATTGACTAGATTTCTTCTTTACTCATCCTAATGACGTCCTCTTGGAGGATTCACATTGTGGTTTTTGAGATAAAATCAAGTGAAGCTCATTTATTGTTCCGCTTTTCCCTTTGCTAAACAAGCAAGATATTGACTAGATTTCTTCTTTACTCATCCTAGTGACGTCCTCTTGGAGGATTCACATTGTGGTTTTTTAGATAAAATCAAGTGAAGCTCATTTCACACAGAATATTCATCCATGTTGCAATTTATCTCCTTTGAAAAGTTCTCCCATGTTGCAAATTCAAAATTTCAGTTAAAATAATCTCATTTTGACTATTTGCAGAATTTCTTTGAATTTAGGCAAATGTACAAGAAACCTACTTTCTCTTCAAGCCTTTCAGGCATCGTGTAGCAACGGGTTAACAATAGGCCTCCTTGGGCTGCATTGTGCCGATATTCTGAGTCCTCAATGAAGCCTTTCAATGATCATTCACTGCCATCTTGATATTAATTCTGCTCCCATTTGTTGCACATAGTATTGTGATGTAATATTATGAAATTCATATTTGTCATTGTATGTGAGTCAATTCCAATGTGTTATCTGTTCAATTTACAGGAAAACCTGGAACATGTGAAGAGTGGGAGCGACTTCAAAAATCTGGAGAAGAAACTGGAAGAAGTCATCCAAAAAAAGCAGCTCCNAATCTGGAGAAGAAACTGGAAGAAGTCATCCAAAAAAAGCAGCTCCTGCAATCTTTCATCAGGTGTCACCTTATCATCGCAGTTCAAAATTTTATCAATATCCAATTACATTTTTAATTATGCAATTCTGTCCTTTTTCTTATGAAGACATGCTGGAATGAGTGAGGAGGAAGTGATGGCGACATACCGTGATGTCACAGATGAAGCATTCCAGCCATTCATGACTCTGGAGGACCTCGAGAAATCTGGTGAATGGAAGGCCTACATTCGTTTATGCATTGATGGGGAGGTCACTGAAAGATCACAAAGAGTAAAAGGTGCTGATGTGAAGATTCTCTTGGGAGACCAATTGCAAATTCCTGACAGTTCATTCCATGAACCTCTTGTTGGAGCAGTCTTTTTCGCCCAGGTGAGAATCTCCCATCTTCTGACTTTTGAACATGCTCAAGGAAGGGTAACTTTGAAAAATACAGTAACTATATTCTTTCCTAATAGACTGCAGAAGAAGCCGAAAGATGTCTTTTGGGACTCCATGCTCACCAATGCAGGTTCCAAGGGGAAAAGTTTATACCAACTGCTTTTCTGGTGGACAGTGAATCAGAAGCTGGCCAAATAAAAGAGAGGATGAAGAGTATGAATGTCAAGACTGACACTCTAGTTCTCCTCGGGAGAGCAAGTGAAGGTAACCCCATTGGGAATTTATTGGAAGTCATTTGAAGTGCAAAGTGAAACCATATTGGTTGCAAAAGGGTTCTGTTATCTCTTGTGCTTAATATTGATAAAACGGCCCTGATGATCTCAGCCCCTTTATCGGTCGAAACCCGATCTTCGTATTGATCGGCACTCTCGCAAGAAGAATGACTGCCGAGGGTGAAAGCGGCGGGATTCCATCTCGATGGGATGGAACAGGAGAGCTTATCCTTGGATCACAAGGACGCCGCCGGTCGCGTCGTTACCATCAAATTTCCATATTTGTATTTTCACTAATAGGTTTGCACGAAAAGTGATGGTGATGGACTTTAGGGACGATGCAGGCCGGGTCGTGATCTATAGGTATAAATACCGATCGATGCGAGATCAGGGTTCCGGTTAATAAAGGGATGGAGAAGCTGCTGCCTATAGCGTCGGGAGAGCCACCGTCTTAGGGCCGCCGAATGAACTCGGGAACACTTGTCAAAGAGTTCGTGGAAGTCTTCCACGGGTCGGCTAGTATATCTGTATCTCGTGATCGAACGTCCGGCAAAATGACTCGTTCGATGAAAGACCCATCTAGAGAGGCGAACGTATGGTCTTCACGAGCGAGTGCGTCCTGTGGAAACTTTGTCTCGCGACGAGGACACTCGAAGGGTGCGTGAAGGGCACGTAAAGGGTACGTGGGTGTTTGGGCTCCTCGGCGTGATTGTCTTGGGCTTTTCCCGACCTTCTCGGGGCCGAGCTCCTTCCGAAACATGTCATCCACGTGGTACCGTGTCCTAAGATAAGGTAAAATGTGTGATGCTGCGCAAAACGGACTCAAAGCAGTAAATCGTCTGGTAAATGTCGTAGGTATGAGCGAACGAGTGTCGTCAAACTCAATCTTATTGCAAGGTGACAAGATTGGAAATTAAAAAAAGAGAATCTCCACGGAAACACCTGCATTCTTCGTTTGTTAATTCCCTTGTGAAGCAAATGGGATGTGTGCCTCGAGCCGCCTGCAACGCATTTGCGTCGTGCGCCGTCAGGGTATCATCTCGCCTGTTTATCGACGAGATACGGGAAATCCAGAAACACGTGCAAATTTTTACCGCGATCATCCTAGAAGAGGAGGATATTTTCTTCATTTCTCATTCGGTTTCCGTGGATTTTTGAACGTATGTGCGTGCTATCACGAGAAGCTTTCGCCGGGCTTGCAAGGCTACGACCGGCATCAAGAGGGTAAATAGGCAGTTACGTCACCTGTATTACGTTGCCTGTCACAAAATCATCTCTACATGAATAGAAGACTGCCGGTGAGTATCGAGACTGAGCCCCAGAGAGGCAAATTCCCTGATGTCTGCAAAGTTCCATATAAAAATGATTCCTATAATTATCCGGTCCCAACCCCACCCCCTTACGAAAAATCCACACTTGTGGACTACCCTAAGTCCACCGGAGGATTTGGATGAATCCACATGTGGACCACATGTGGATTAAGAGGATCCACATAGAGTCCACACGGAGATATTCTTATTTCCACATTAGTCCCCCTGTGGACTTTTCCACATCAGTCCATAACAGTCCACATTAAATCCACACTATTTCACATGGCTAAATGTCATCCCACATGTGGATCCCCCGAAGGATTTAGATAGTCCCCCAGTGGACTACAGGGGGATTTTTCGTAAGGGCCCGTCCCCCGAGGATTAAGCTACAACTGAACTTGAGTTTATTTCAAAACGATAGATGAGTTGCAGTTCGGTTTAAGTTTCGGTTCGTATATGGTATGATTCAAGTTCCATTGCGCCCTTGTCGACTTCACCTCAAAGAAATCCCAATTGGAACCACGACATCACAAAAATTGGAACCGAACAACTACTGAACTGCAACAGGACTGAAGTTTTTAAGTCGGTCTCAGCCTATATTTCCCAAATCCATATAAATATGAATTTCCTCTGTGAAAGTTCGATATTTTTTGTGCTGCTGCGGAAGTGTGAGACAGACAGACGCGGACCGGACGGATCTTTTCATCATCTCATTTCTTTATGGAGAGAAAACCCAGAAAAATGTTTGTCCCTGCCCCCAGGCGATCTGTTCCATTTCGTCCATCCACGGGAAAAGGAAAGCTATTAGTTCGACTGCGATGAGGATCACTCATCTGCAAACAGGATTCACGAGTTTCCCCGATTATTGAATAGTTACGTGGTAGCGAGGAAGTGTTGGGATTTTCGAAGCACTACGTTGCATGATAGCACCACCCTGATGTGGGTGTGAACAATCTTCGCTTCGTTGACGTGACTGGAAGAATTGGGACTTCAACAACCGTTCCGGAAATTATTAACGGCAGAGGTAGAAGGCACAAGAAGTGAAGGATCTTCCGTACGAGATTACACGAGGAAGACTTTGAACGACCTTTCCAAAAACCAGAGAAACGCGACTTCGGACAGAGAGTGGCAATCGATCGCGTGATAGTCTCCGACTCAGCTAGTAATTCTTATCGGAGATCCTCCTCTTATCTATATCGTCCCCAAGGATCAATGACCTCTACGAGGTTCGATGTGAAGGAAGGACGAGGAGGGCACCGCGACCGGGCGAAGAGGAACCTGGAGGATGGAGGCCGAAGACTACGAGGCATGGAGAAGATTTCACTGGAGGTGCAAGGTCTGCTCCAAATTCCTTCTTGGCGTCTGGCTCTGTGGCCTCGTCGGCATGGTCGCCTGCTATGTCGTGATGCTTAATGTCGCCGGGCTCGTACTTCTGGCCGTTGCCGTCATCGGGCCGATCTTGCTTCTCAAGGTCCCTATCCTAAGATGCTGTTTCGACAGGAGATACAGAGAACCTCGGTTGGGTTTCGCACGATATGCAATCACGATAAAATATTCAGTGAAATTACATATTACAAAAATTTATATTTATGTAATCGTTTAATAAATTCGCGAAACGGAAATGTTGGATACTATATAGTTGAATTACGGATTTTGTAGCTACCATTTTAATTGTGGTGCGTTAAATCTTGGTTAGTTTATTTTCGACTTGAGAATTTTTTTTCCTTTACAAAGAAAGACCCCGAACCCAGGTTTACTGAACCCCTAACGTAAGCTTTTAAGTTAATGTAGCCTTTTATTTTGTAGTTCATTGTTCGAAATTCTTTACCTCGATTAGAGCGAAACTTATACCCTAGAAAAGTTAAATTCGCCTATTTTGTTCCTGTATGCAGTGCAAGATGAGATTTGCCAGAGTTGCAGCAAGGCAATTGATGATGGATGGCTTAGTTCCGTTCGCTGCTTCTCCGACGAATGGATTTATCCTAATTTGCTGTTTTTGAGTAAGACGTGCTATGAGCACTGGTATTTTACAGTTTTTGCGGATTGTGAAACTCAAAATTTCGAAACGAAATTTTAAACTAACTTAGAGAGTACGACTACCAGTCCTAGACAGGGTATTTCGGCTTTGCTTTTTTTGGTCAAGTTTTATTACCGTTTCAAGTTCATCGTATTTTTTTTTAGTGCCGTGCTGATGGAGTGGATCCGGAAGTGTACATGCTCCCGAAAGTCCGATACCTATTCCTAAATGGGGGGACGATTCTAACTCCGAATCGAAACTGGTATGTGGCGATGCCCCATGATGAGACAGTCCTCGGAGAATGGGCAAAGGTGGTGAAATGCCACGTGCACCGTGACGCCCTGGACATGGTCAAGGGGAAATCCTGGTACTTGAAGACGCCCTCTCCAGAGCCGGAACAGGGAATCCCGCCCTTCATCCTCAAAACCAGCTCCTGAAAAGCCCAGCTTTTGCCCGACATGGTGGAAGTCGTCCTCACCGACTCCCAGTCGTCTTTCATCACCTCGCTCGTGCGTCCTGGACTCAGACGCAGCTGCCGTATCCTGGGAGGCCAGAGATTCTCTCTCTTTTCGTCGAGGGTGCATCACCTGCAAGAATGTAACGGGATCGGTACTCGATTCGGACTCGAGTTACCGAGAAAATTCAAGTCCGATCTTCCCCCAAGTTATGTGGAAGCGATGCAGACCTCGGCTGCGTAGAAATCGACGACAGATTGAAAATGTAAACGCTTGACTCCCTCGATGGAAAGTTTTCCATGAATGAATCGATCGGAACGTGAATGAACATCGTCTTGACATCGTGTGAACACGAAATCGGACTGTCATCGTCTAAGCACTAAATGGTGTCTTTTCCTGATCAGTCCTATTGTTCTCGTTTCAGAGATTTTTTTCATCCAGGATTCGATCTCCTTAAGTTGATGAACCCGTCAGCAATATAAGCATACGATATTATGAAAAGGCAATATGTCATAACATGTAATACTGATACCGTAATTTAATATTTTACCTACGTATTCACGCTCCCAAAGCTATACTCCGTGGTACCAAGTTTCATCTTTCCACACTAGCTCAATATGCCAGGACGACGGAAATACTTGGAAACGTCGGCTGACAAAAATATGCCTCCAGGGCATGGATCTAAAATTTTCCATTTTTCCTGAACTTATCGTCTCGGTAGGCACGTCCATGCCAAGTTTCAGCTCTCCATGTATCTCCGTTTCACTCAAGCAAAAGTAATGATGTGGTGGAGGAATGAGTAACGGGCAATAGAAGGCAAAAAAAAGCCAAAAAAAGCTGTGATGCTGAGAAAAAGCTGAAATGGCTGGGAACGAATTAATCCCGGACCTTCTGATTGTCACTCAGAGGTGCTACTACTACACCATCAAACACAGCACCACCAATTGACTTTCTGAATACATTCCTCATCTGGCACAAAATATATTTAAGAAAAACTTTTCCCCCAAAAATTTGTTTCCCCAGGGCAAGTACCTCCAAAGTGGGATTTTTTCTGAACTCTGCATCCCAAAAGGTACATGAGTACCAAGTTTCAGATTTCTAACCCTTCTAGAACATGGTTAGAATAAGCGTCAGTCAGTCAGCCAGTCAATATTGTCTATATATATTAGGTATCATTCGTACTCTCTATGACGATATCGAGGTAGTGAATTGCGATGTGGTACCGGAAGCCGGTACCGAAAAGAATCTGCTTTCAGTACCGAAACACGTGCTGATTTGGGCGAAGGCATCGTTTCGGGCTCTCCAAGGTGTACCGATCTCCATTAGAATAAAAGGACTGTGAAGTACTGCGAGGTTGCGATCGAGAATTTGGGGTCGTCACGGCGTCGAAAACGACGGAAGATGAAGAATCGTTGCTTTAATTTATTGGAGCATAGGAAGGACTAGATAAAACCGAGAAGCTTCGGCAAGCGCAGTTCGTCGTCGACGGTCGAGGATCGGGCCGTCGACCCAGACGAGGCCCATTACGCGAGGGGGAGCTGGAAGGGAATGCCCATGGAGTTCCCCCGAGTTCTTTTATGGCTTCTCTCGCCGAGCAGATGGCACGCGCGCCTGTCCGAGCGAGACGAACGAGGGCGGTGACGTCAAGGTGACGTCACGAGTACGGCGTTCGGTCCGACGATATCGGCGACGTTATCGACGAGATGCCGGAGCTCTGCCCGTCCGAGTACCGCACTTCCTCGCTCGGTCTTCCCGGTCGACCCGAATGCTTGGGGATCCCGGTTGTTCCCCGGGGCAAGGTTTCTCTCTCCAGCATCCACCAAAACAAACAATTCATTTTAGGAAGACTATTCCATTTCTTGTTCATGAAATATAAAGGTTTCTTCCTATTGAAGAATGCGAATCGGACCGAAATATCGTAGTTAAAAATGTGGACGAGCTCTGCCTTTTCCTTGATTTGAAATAAATACATGGTGTTTCAAAAGTTATCATCTTAGCAGATAATAACTGACAATAAGGCATTCAATTGGAGCTTGAATCTCACGTACTATTGATTACGTACGTCTATGAGGATATTCATCATGGCAACATCGTCATTCATCATCGTCTCATTAAGAAGGCCTCGGCCAATCTGGCAGCCTCGAAGTCGATTACACGAGAGATGGTGGGGGGAATGAAGCTGCCAATCACGCGAGGAATTCCCTCTCTCAGTAACAAGAAAAATTGAAGCCCCCTTCTGCATCCCATTCACAATCCGACACATCCTGTCGTCGACGTTCGACCTCGAAGCTCGCATACCACTCACCTCGGGAGGGAGATCTTGCCACACGGTCGGGAACCGATCCATTCTATCGTTCACTATCGTCGAGACGGGCCTATGGAACACCCCGGGCCTCCCGGCCTTGGACTGAGGCTGTCCCATCGTCCAGGAGTTTCTGAGAACCGTAGAAGCGATTCGGACGGGGGGATGGAATTATCTACGCCGAGTCACGTGCGTGCCACTTGTGCTAGTCACGCGCGTGCCACAGCCGTATCAGCCGCATTTCCATCTACCTGTGCTCCGCACTACTTCGAGCCGATTCTTCACTTCCCATATGACGCCTGTCACTTTTTCCCAGGTACTCAGAAGAAACCTGGGAACTTTGTACGGGATCCGACGATTCGACGATTCGATACGATTCGACTTCCTCGCATTGACTTTTGAAAATGTCATCTCAATGAATGCATCGTTCTCATGATGGAATTCTCATCTTAATCTTCGGAAAGTTCCAGGTCCCACTCGCTAGCGTAGGTTTTCCCGATCGCAATCGGTGACGAACACTCCGTGGACGTCCTGAGTGCCTCGTCCCGTTTTCCAAAAGATCGACCGAAATTTTGAATAACCTCTAAGCAAATTCTAATTTGATTCTTATTAATTCATATTATATACATTGAAGCAAAAACTCATCAAAATTATCCAGGAGATAAGGCGAGCCATTAAATTGAATTTAATTGCAGGTGCAGTGTTTGGCCTGGAGGAAATGCAAGCGGAACATTTTCATACTTAACATGTTTTGCAGTAAGGAACTGAAGAGAAACTTTTGCAGAGATGTTGGGAGCATTCCATGCCTGGAAAGATGTTTTATGAAAATTGGTTCCGGTGGGAACTGTTATGCACTGAGTAAAAGTCGTCCGATCTCTGTTGCCATATCCTGCATATTCTGAAAACGGAATCTTCAGAGATATACATGCATGTATACGTTGACGATACCGACTAAGTTATGGCGTTTGAAATCCATTTACATGTCGAATTTTTATATTTTATTGCTTAATGCAAACATATAATTAAAATTGTGATATTTATGAGTGAAATGTGAGATATGCATATTTTTGGTTGTTTAACCAAGATTTCCATCTCTGTAATTTCAGTCATACCTTTCGTTAGGGAATTAGAGGAATTCAAAAATATAAATAAACCACACAGACATGAAAAGCAAAAGTAACAACACGAGTAATAAATCAATAGAAAGCGCTTGCAGAGAGCTTTCATTTGATACTAGTTACAAGTTTGCATCTTGTTTAAAAGAGGAAGTACGAACCGCCAAAGTTGCTAAAAATAGGCAATATTGGACTTTTCAAATTTAATTTCAAGTGTTTTCGGAAAACGTAGGAAACTGAAATTTAGTTTTTAAATTGTTATTGCCTAATCTACAAGGTTACGAAAGGTCGTGGTCTTAACTTGCATCCTAGAGCTAAAAATGTGCGTGCAAATTCGGCAAGATTTACAATTTTGGAAATTGTATAACTCAATTTGCCTTAAAGGTATTAGAAAATGCCTTTAATAATGCGCATCAACATTATCTCAGCTTTACTGAGTCCAAAAACACGTTTCTAGCTTGACTAGAACAAGAAATAGCACAAATACCACATACTGGCTACTTTTCCTCTCGGGGGCGAAGTTTGGGTCCTCATATCTCGAGATCCGTTACAACCAGAGAGCCAAATTTTGGGATTTTTTCATAAGTCCTTTTCCCTAGGAAAACTCCCTAGGAGTGGCTTACCAGGAAGGGGGGAAAAAAAAAAAACTCCAGCATGAAATTCACATGCTCTAAAAGCGAGATTCAGTAATCTCTAAAATCCCATGGAGGTGCTGGAGCGATTCTATGTTGAGGAAAAAGCACGCCAAATTTCGTTCTTGTTGATTCTCTCAGAGAGGAATGCGAGACAGTTGAATTTTGTCGTGGTAAGGTGTCGAAGAAAGGTAATAGGCGCAACCTTTTGATATAGGATGCAAAACACAACAACATTCACCACGAACCAGAACCATGGAACGCACTGAACTTATAACTCTATTTTACTATGGTCTACCTAATCACAGGTCCAATCACAGCCAAATTTCATATTAGCTATTAACTTGTAGAAATCGCTTCAGGAAGCGAAAAAAAATTGGCATTTTGGTCGGTAGAGCTCCCCTCCGATGATTTCTCGATGGAAGTTTGCTGACTTCACATCAGCCATTTCACGGAACGTGATGACGTCAGAGCCTATAGAATACCCTTGCCGATTCACGCCTCCTTCATCTCTTAAGACTCTGCATTCTTTGCATGACTTTCACCACTTATATGAGTTTTCCCAATTGTGAGACTCTTGGCACAAATAAATTCATTCGCCACCTCTCAACAAAACCTGTTTTCACAAAAAGGCCAAAGTTGCACATTTCTAATCAAATAATAATTAAATATGCAAATGCATTATTGTCGCGAATGCAGGCATTTTGAGGAGATGTAATGCATTTTGGGAATTAATCATTGGAAAGATTGCGTACAATTTGAACTGTATGAAAGTCAGCGTGCTCCGAAGTTAAAGAGCATATCACTTTAAGTAAATGTGTATTAATTATCATAGTTGTAATTTAGGATTTGGTTTAGGAACTAACGGAAAACAGATCAGGGGAATATTGTTTTTTTTTATGTCGTACTCACCTCCTTTCTTTTTCCAAAACTATTACTGAAATCAATGTTAATGAGACATCACGATTTCTGACTTTGTCTCTGCGCCATAAAATGTATATTCGTTTAAGAAATTGAACATCACTACTGAAAGAAAAGTGAGAAACTGATCGTTGTTTATGCATCTGTGCTTCTGACCTTTCGGAATTTTATTGATAAACGTCTCAAAGTCTGGTATCAACACAAAAATAGAAAGTAAAGGAACTGTGTCGGACGTTCTGAATACGTAAAGGACACTTTTAACACTGGACATGCGGAATAACCGCCAGATAGACGAAACATCACGGATTATTCCACCGAATCTCAAGGAAACCATATCCATAAGTAAATTGCTCAGATTCTTCTCCCGTAGCGACGGTACTCATACATAGGGTGAAAAGAAAGCAAGAGAAAACTCTCTTTATCGAGACCTAGCGATTTATCTGTTATGAGAGGCGGTTTTCGCTCATGGAGAGCCGTGTGCTAGAAACGGTCAGTTCGATGGATACATTTCGGGAAGGAACGGTCGGTCGGACCAGGACAGGAGGCACCGGCAGCGTTAAGTCCTTTCCTCCGCCGGACGCGTCCAGAGAAGGGATTTCCAGCAGCGCCTCTTTCCGCGTCTCGGGAGAGGATTTTCGTCTCACTGATGAAACCCGCACGCGAATGTGCTTGCGAGTCGCCCATAATTCAGCCAAAAATGCCTTTGGGAAGATTTTAAGAGGTTCACCTCCTAATCTCGATGTCGTGTCTCGGAAACGGTGGCATTGTGGTGTACTTTCTGCATAATTTTCCCTGTGAATCAGCAAATCTTTCGCGAAAACCAACAACCCTTGCGTTAACCCCCTGGGATAAATCTACTCCTTTTCCTTGGTCCCATGCACCTCCAACGCTGCAAGGGGAAAGCACTCAACAGTAGAATCATCCTTTCCCTGGGTTTTTCCTCCTCCCTTTTCCATTCTACTATTATCGATTGGTTACTACAGTGGCTATAGTGATTAATCGCCAAGTACTCCGGTTCTTCCTCTTATTTGTGAGGGTATTTTCAGGGCATCAAACGAAGTCGGGCCTGCAGCGTGAGGCGACAATCGCAGCTCCGTTTTCGATCAATCCCATGGCGAATTTTAACCCCCTCCTTCCTTCGGGATACCTCTCGTCAGCACACGATAGTATTTCGAACGAACGGACGCGTGTTTTGCTTAAGATCTAATCGTTCTGACTGCGTAGGACGCACTGAGACATCTGTCGCGTCGAGGAGCTCTTCAAAAATCGCACCATCCCCATATCATGTTTTCTGGGAGTGCGGAACTTCTATTCACTAACCGTGGTTCTTCAGGGGCCACTCGTGCCAGACGCGTTGAAACCCCCCTACGTAGCCTTTTCCTCTAGAGTCGACGGGAAAATCTTGCAGCAATGGCATTCCACAACCACTTCAAATTCCAATAAAGTATCTTTTGGGAAGAAAGCTTCCTCTGTCTTCCTGAGCGTTGGCCATCATTAACAGGTATGACTTAGATTGCCCGAGTCAGCTTCATTGAGCCTACGAAGTGAGAGTTCTAAAAAATCCGCTTCCTCGAATTTCCTCAACGAGTTGTCATTGTTTGAAATCTTCCCAGCGATGTTTCTGCTCTCAAGCAATCGGAAAGTCGACGACGTACAACCAAGACTACGGAACTACGGAATGGCCTGGAATGGCATATCTGATAGTGGGCGTCCAATTTCGAGAAAGTCTCATATCCATTACTCTTTGTGCCAAAATTCTAGCTGATGCTGGCGTTGGACTTGTGGTTGAGGGTTTCTCGGTTGAATGTTTTTCTCTATTGCCAAGTGGATTTCGTTAGGTTTTGGTCGAATTCGGAGTAAAGTCGAGCAATTGGTACACAATTATCGATTGTCAACTTTTCCTCAGCTATTTTCCTCTAACTTTTTTAAATTGGAATGGATCACATTGGAGACACATGATAACGTGTTTCAGCGTCGCAGACGCTTTTTCAAATGTGAACGACTTGAATTGATCCCAGAAAAGTAATTCAAATTCCGTCTCACGAAAAAAGATTCCATTGCCCAAAAGGCGTGAACTTTTTACTTGATAGATAATTATTTCTCTCTTTCGAATGGTGTAAGCCACGTCTCAATAAAATCTATAATTAATTGCCGACTAAACCTATTTGTGCCGCAACTACTGCATCATGGTTGCGTAACAAATATAGACTCCGTCACGTCTGCAGCGATTTTCTTGGTAATTGGAAGGGTTTCCGATAGGGAAATTTCTTTTGATTTATTTCTCTGCAAAACCAATATACAAGTATTGATACATCTATTTTTCCATGTTTGCTGTAATCTCTTTCGTCATGGGAACAAACCCTGAAATTTCACATTTTTAGGTTGATTCCTTCCCTTGATATCATTGAATGCTAGATAGTTTCAATGCAAAGTAGAATTTGCAAGATAGCTT